TGTCGCCTGTTTGCACAAAATGAGTCACATACCCGGCCTTGATTAAAACGGATGACTAGATCATGGTTGTCAATCTGCTCTCCAAACGCACTTGTTCTGAGACGGCCACTGTTGCCAACAACTGCACAACGGGGTTTTTCGAGTTGTGATTCAGGCGTGCCTTCCGGATACCAAGTGTGTGGACCCTTCAAAAAGCCCATTAACCCCTCTCATAATCAAGCCTCCAGAAGCATAATCGCCCCACCCATCTTCCCTCCCCATCACTCACCCACCCACCACCCACCACCCACTCAACCACACATACCACCTCTCATGTGAACACACAACCATCTCTGGTGTGAACCATTGCGCCGGGAGTGCAACAAGACGGAACAACAGCAGAAGCAACAAAACACCAGAGCAAAGAAATGACAAACCGCCAATAAGAAAACCAGCAATAAAAGAACTTCCATTCAAAAGCAAGTCCATTTCACAAAAAGGAAGGGGAAAGAATGTCACTCAGCAGGCATCAGAAGCACAGAAATGACTCTCTGCGGAGGAAAGGCTTCTGCATCCGGCGACAGGATCAAAGTGCCCTTTGGGCCTTTGCGCAGATCGTACCACCGTTGCCATGCGCTCGCTTGAGGCGAGCTCAGAATTTTCAATTTGCCCATCGACCACGTCTCGAACTGGGTGCACGCAGGCCGTTCCATTGGAAGCACAGCCTCGCTGCAGAAGGCCGCAACATGTAGTCGACGTCCATGGCCGTGGTGGTTTAGGAGACCCCGGTTGTGGGTAACCGGTGGATGAAGATCGATGGTCGTCGCCCCCAGGGCAAAAGTGAAATGTGGCAAAACAACCAGCATCTTACCGACTACCGGCTTCATCCGAATATAACACCTGGTCATTATAGCTGTATTTGGGGCACTTTTCAGTCCAGATGCAGCGACAATGACCGGGCGTTCTATTCGGGGGAAGACGGTAGGACCAATTGAACTACCGCGCAGTCTACCGGAAAACGGAAAAGAAAAACAAAACAAAAAGTTCTTGGCATTATTTTAAACTTTTT